GAACATTTCATATTATCACAGCCTTTTTAGTGATTGCACCTGCAAAATAAGTCACCATGGGCCCCAAGAAAGCTTCTAGTGCCAACCCTACAGCAAAAAGGGTGAGAATTACTATGGATATGAAGAAAGAGATCATTGCTAAGTATGAAAGTGGAGTGCATGTCTCCGAGCTGGCCAGGCTGTACACAAAACCCCAATCAACCATCGCTACTATTGTGGCCAAGAAAACGGCAATCAAGGAAGCTGTTCTTGCCAAAGGTGCAACTGTTTTCGAAACTGAGATCGCAAGTGATAGAATATGTTGAGAGACTGTTATTGGTATGGATAAATGAAAAACAGATAGCAGGAGATAGCATCTCTCAAGCGATCATATGTGAAAAGGCTAGGAAGTTGCATGACGATTTAATTAGAAAAATGCCAGCAACTAGTGGTGATGTGAGTGAATTTAAGGCCAGCAAAGGTTGGTTTGAGAGATTTAAGAATCGTAGTGGCATGCATAGTGTGATAAGGCATGGTGAGGCTGCCAGTTTGGACCACAAAGCGGCTGAAAAATATGTGCAGGAATTCAAGTACATAGACAGTGAAGGACTGAAACCTGAACAAGTGTTTAATGGTGACACTGACAATGTTGTGAAACACTTTAGGAATGTCATAAAGGAACGGGAGGTACAGGCCTCTATGGGCAGATATGTTGTGAGACAGAGGTCCAGTGACTCTCAAGCTGGTCCTAGTGGCATTAAAAGAAGAAGGGAAGTAACCCCGAAAAAGGACTTACCACCTCAAGTCCTAATGGAAGGGGATTCCCCTTCTAAACACTAAGACCATCAACACACTCCCCTCTTCCCATCCCATCAATCATCACCAGATCTTCAATAAAGGTAAGTGTCATGTAACTGTGCATGTCTTCTTCAGTTTGTGTGTATTAAAATTAATATTTCATGTGTTAAATTTTTTTTTTTCAATACTTTCGGGTGTCTTGCACGGATTAATTTGATTTCCATTATTTCTTATGGGGAAAATTAACTTGACTAACGATTATTTTGACTAACGATGAGCTCTCAGGAACGGATTAATAGCGTTAGTCGAGGGTCCACTGTAGTGAGTTCTACAAACACCATATACTGAAGGTGGTACACCGGGAACTCTGCTTGGAGCTTGTAGCTACAAGTAGATCCTGGGTGATCACAGACAATAGATAATAACTGTGACAAAATCACTGAGGTTTTGGAAGTTAGAAAAAAAAATAGGTGTTGTCTACATAGATTGTGGAAAGGTATCCCCTCCCTTAGCGGCGTACTCATTTACTGACAACTCGGACTTACGACAGGCTCTCTGACAAGTATGTATACCTAAATAATATATAGGGTTAGCGGCAGCGGCAGCAGCGACTTCCAAGCTCCGTACTTTTCTCCAACAATCAGAGCTACCAATGCTCCTATGATGACCTAGTTACAAGCAAAACTGTACTACCCAACGTAGCACCCAGAATGACCAAAGATTACCAACAGTGAAACCTACAAATCGAAAATAATAGAGATCAAAGGAAGACTGCCCACAAACCGAAAGAAACACCCCGCTGCCAGCCGAACAACGTAACCCTAAGCTTTGTATAACTACAACTTCTTCTTAACTACAACAATTCCTGTAGTATTATGAGGCGCAATCTAAGAGGAAACAGCACCAAGGCCAGCAAGAAAACACCGAAAAATCAACTATTCAACAAGTGTAGTCAGGAGGACGCCGGCCCAGCAACCACCCCACTCACCACCGCTCAAGGCCACACCACAACAATAACAACAAACATGGCTGCCACCAGCCCATCCTCCCCTCTCTTCCCCGGATTCAACCTACCAAGTAGTCTCTCAGGTATGACCAACGATCCAGATACCCTAAAAACATACATCTCCAACTTAGTTATTGAAAATATGAATCTTCGAGAGACGCTAACAAAACAAGACACCAGGATGACACAACTCGAGAACAAAATCCTCAGTCTTGAACAAAAGTTATCAACACCATGAATGACTAACTGTGACAAGACCATCCAAGCAGTCATAGATAGCCATACCCAACAAATAATATCTCTTAATACAAAGGTTGAAGAAGCAGTAAAAGAATGGAAGAACAACTTAGATAACCAGTTCAGCGACTACTTTGCTCTCCCAGAAGATAAAACTGAACAAGATAAACTATCGGATGCAGTAATAGTTAACAGTCCACTTTTTCCCAGTGATATGAACCAAACAAACAGTAAAGAAATTACTCTGCAGATCATAAAGGACCAAACAAGTGTTATTGTACCAGAGTCAGAAATAAAAGAAGCCAGGTTACTAGGATCCCATGGTAGAAAAAGTGTTATGCTTAGATTCCACTCACATGACAGGAAAAAAGACTTAATTATTGCATCTATTAAAGTAAAGAAAGAGGTATACATAAACGAGTGTCTTACCAAAAAACGTCAGAACCTCCTGTATAGAGTCAGAAAACTTAAGCGGGAGAATAATGACACAATACACCAATGCTTCACACGAGATGGGAAAATTCTTGTTAGGAAAACAAATGTAGGTCAACTGTACACAATAACGAACGAGAATGATCTATCACGATTTCTCAGGGATATAATCTTACAGAGAATAACTAAACAATGTCCAACCTAAAAGCCTACGTAGTGTAGTGAATGTTTTGTTCCATTATTGTTCAAATTTCATTGTACAATCTCTTAGTAATTAAATAATCAACTACCTCATTTCGTGATTTTACTAGTAAGCATAAGTCACCTTATGTAATTTTCTTATTTACTATTGTTTGCTTAAACATTAGCTGAATTGATACTTTCTCTGTCCATATTATTACCTCATATTTTTTAAATACTATCAATTGATATTACTTACTAAAATTAATGATTATCATTTTTACTATAATTTCAATTTACTTTTTAGTTGATTGGCACAATGGGATTGTCTGAAAATAGGGCTCAAAGTGGGTGAAATCGCCAATGCCTAAATATCGCTAACTTTGCAGGAGCATAATTTCATGAGTTTTCCATCAAATTTCATACTTTTGGTGTTATTACCATTGGGAAAAGATTCTCTATCATTTCATAAGAATTTTTTTCTTTTTCACCCTAAGAGCAAGTTCAGGATTGGGGGTCTTGACCCTGAAAGGGTTAAGGCAGGTGAAATAGCAGATCTGGAGCATGTACAGAGAACCACCACTGCATATTTTATTTCTGTCAAGCACCATAATTACTGGGAATGTTTGAAGTCCCTCGACCTGTTACTCCTTGGAATGCAGCCAAGAAAGATGCAATATGTAATAAAGTTGGTAGAATTACCGACAATATGTAAAGTAAAAGGACACAAGTGCAACTAATGTGACTGATGTCACATTAGTTGCACTTGTGTCCTTTTACTTTACACAAAGATGCAATATATTTAATACCTGGAAAATCCTAGAGGGACTAGTCCCAAATCTACACACACAAGTCACTCCCTACAAAAGCATAAGGCTTGGCTAATTATGTAATATACCCCATTGAAAAGCAGGCAGTACCAAGAGTGCATTGAGAGACAATAAAATAAGTTTTAGGGGCCCCAAGACTGTTCAACAGCCTCCCATCATACATAAGAGATATTACCAATAGACCCCTGACTGTCTTCAAGAGGGAACTGGATAGGTTCCTAAAATCAGTTCCTGACCAGCCGAGCTCTTGTTCATATACTGGATTGCATGCAGCCAGCAGGAACAACCTGGTTTATCAGGTCCTGATCCACTAGGAAGCCTGGTCATGGACCAGGCTGTGGGGGATTGACCCCCTGGAACATGTGCGCCAGTGCTGCTGTGGGTGACCGAAACAGTCATTTTGCTATATAGTGCTACCACTCACCTATGGTAACACAAGTGTGCTACAGTGCACACTTGTGTTACCATAGGTGAGTGGGGAAGGTCATGTGCTACAAAGTGTACATTCGTTGTTCTCATGAGAGAGAGAGAGAGAGAGAGAGAGGGAGGTACATAAAATATATGTGGGAGGTACTCAAGGGCTTGGTCCCAAATCTGCATACTGTCATAACATACTGGAGTGAGAGAGATGGAAGGAAGTGCAAGATAAACCCAGTGAAAAGCAACGGTGCAGTGGGCACAATTAGAGAACATTGTATCATCATCCGTAATTGTAGTTTGTTCAACAATTTACCAGAAGATATCAGAAACACTCCTGGAACAAAAGAAACTAGACAAGTATCTCTACCAGGTATGGTAGGCTGGGATATTCATTGTGCTACATAATATGCACTAGTTCTACTATTGGTGGCTGGACAATCGATGTGCTACATAGTACACACTTGTGCTACCATGGGTGACTAGCACAGTCATTGTGCTATCATGGATGACTAATACATCATAGTGCTATCATGGGTGACTAATACAATCACTGTACTACCATGGGTGATGAATACAATCATTGTGCTACCATGGGTGACTAGCACAATCACTGTGCTATCATGGGCAACTAATACAATCATTGTGCTATCATGGGCAACTAATACAATCATTGTGCTACCATGGGTGACTAATACAATCATTGTGCTATCATGGGTGACTAATACAATCAGTGTGCTATCATGGGCGACTAATACAATCACTGTGCTACCATTGGTGACAAATACAATCATTGTGCTACCATGGGTGACTAGCACTATCATTGTGCTACCATGGGTGACTAGCACAATCATTGTGCTACCATGGGTGACTAGCACAATCATTGTGCTACCATGGGTGACTAGCACAATCATTGTGCTGTCATGGGTGACTAGCACAATCATTGTGCTATTCTGGTAACTGGAACAATCAGTGTGTCACTGGCTATCAAGCTCTAAAATTTTCTCAAAATAAATTTCTTTATTTTTTAGTTTAATCTCTTATGATTCTTAAATCCAAAATATACTTACAGTATGCTTTTGCAAATACATAAATGACATTGTTTCTTGCATTTCCTACAGGAGGGTCATCTGTCTGTGGTTAAGACCCTGCTCACAGAGTCAAGAATCAATGCTGGAGCCGTCAACTTAAGAGGCCAGAACCCTCTCCATGTCTTGGCAAACTACCCCAAAGATAATGCTGCTGCCATTGCTGAGGTGTTTCTTGAGACCATGCCAGGTTATGATCTTAATAAATTAGATGTGGAGGGTAACGCAGGTAAGCTTGTACTTCAAGCATGTACTTATATAAGGTGTGTGTGTACTTACCTATTTGTGGTTGTAGGGTTCAAGTCACAGCTCCCTGTCCCACCTCTTTGCTGGTCACTACTAGGCCCACTCTTTCTCTCCTCCTTGAGCTTTATTGTATCTCTTCTTACACATGTGTGTGGATCTTGCCTCTACTACACCACTCTCCAGATTGTTCCACTTCCTGAGAGCTCTATGGCTGAAGAAACACTTCCTAACATGCCTGTGACTCATTTGAATTTTCAACTTCCAGTTGTGTTCTCTTGTTGCTGTGTCCCATCTCTGAAACATCCTGTACCTATCGACCTTGTTAATTCCTCTCAGTATTTTATATGTCGTTATCACGTCATCCCCATCTCTCCTATCCTCCAGTGTCGTCAGGTCTATTTCCCTTAACGTCTCCTCGTAGGACATACCCCTTAGCTGTGTGACTTAGTCTTGTTGCAAACCTTTGCACTTTCTCTAATTTCTTGATTTGCTCGACCAGGTGTGAGTTCCATACTGGTACTGCACACTCCAATTTGGGCCTGATGTACATGGTGTATAATCTTGAACGATTCCTTCCTAAGGTGTCAAAATGCTATTCATAGGTTTGCCAGGCACCCATATGCTGCAGCAGTTATTTGGCTGATGTGCACCCCAGGAGATGTGCTCGGTATTATATTCACCCTAAGATTCTTTTCCTTGAGTAAGATTTGCAGTTTTTGGCCCCCTAGCCTGTACTATGTCTGCAGTCTTTTATTACCTTCCCTGATCTTCATAACTTTGCATTTGGTGGTGTTAAACTCCAGGAGCCAATTGTTGAAATATCCCTGCAGCCTGCCCATATTCCTTTGTAGTTCTACCTGATCCTCATCCACTTGAATTCTCCAATTAAGCTTCATGTCATCTACAAACAAGGACATCTTTGAATCTATTCCTTCCGCCAAATCATTTACATATACCAGAAACAGCACCTCATTCATCACAGGTGCCCACTCTGACACCTCGTCATGTACCATTACTCGTTGTTTCCTTCCTGACAGGTATTCTCTGATCCATTGCATTGCCTTTCCTGTTATTCCTGCCTGCTCCTCTAGCTTTTGCACTAATCTCTTGTGCAGAACTGTGTTGAAAGCATTCTTACAGTCCAAGAAAATACAGTCTATCCACTCCTCTCTTTCTTTTGTCTTATTTCTGTCACCTTGTCATAAAACTCCAATAGGTTTGTGACACAGGATTTTCCCTCTCTAAAACTGTGCTAGTTATTGTATATAAGTTACTCTCTAACTGCTGCTTTAACACAGTTAAGATATGAACAGATGACTTCTTGGAGGGGCCAGACCAAGGTTTGACAGAAGGTAACTTTACACCACCACCAGCCTTGAAATGCTGCACCCAGTTCCTCATTGAATGCTCACACACACCAACATTCCCCACTATTTCTTTTGTCTGGTGTCCAGCTTTGTGAAGCCCTAAGATTTAAGCTATAGTTTCAGGTGTTAAAAACTTCCTTTTACCCATAATCAAACATGTATAACCCCAAAACCAAAGGGAACACCGGACAAAAGATGGGGTGGAAGCGAGACAAATGTGCAGCACTTCCCCTCACCATGGCAGCTACATGAGCACTGATGAGTTACTTTGAAGTGTGGCAGCAGGCCGTGACGTCATGTTAATGGCTGCTACCCACCATAATGCACTAATGAAAAAAGACCCCCCTGTATGGTAGGCCTTTGATTTTTATTACAGAATTATGCCAGGGCACTCATGTGGCATAATGCCGTGACAAGCACTGTACATGTCAGTGACACTAGTCTGTATTTTAATGCTGCCTGTTTGTCTCCTTAAAGATTGGGATTAAATTTGCTGTCTTCCACACCTCAGGTAGTTGCCCTGTTTTGATTGTGTGAACGAGATTATTTGATGATTCTGGTAGCAGGGAGTAAATGATACGTCTTCGGAGGCTTCTTTCTTTATTTGCAAAGTTGTGGTGGGTACACAAGTTTGTGTGTTGAGTGCCCATGGCCCGGGAGGGCCATGCCCGGCGAGGGAGAGAGCTAGTAGGACTATTGACTGCTGCTGGGCTGCTGATTGAGTGAGCGAGTGCGAGTGGGACCAGTGTCCCACTGACCTGGGCAGGCTAGAGAGGGCAGCACCTTAGTGCTGCGAAATATGAACTAAGCTGGCAGACAGCATAGGCTGTCTGTGCAGACAGTACAGGCTGTCTACATTTGCTTGGCCACCTACCTCACGTCGTCCCGACGCAACAATACTGGTGGTAAAAACAACTCAGTCTCTCTCTCGTAGGAAGAGGGCACAGAACACAAAATAAAAAACATGTATATACATATGGACATGGAATAAAAAACTTCCTATAGGGAGGGAAGAAAAAAACACATGGGGTGTGCTAAACTTCGTGGTCATAGGCAGTGAGAGTCGATGGGCATCACTGCATGCCTTCCTGCATCTGAACAGATACTGCAACACAAGAGACATCGCTGCGGCTGAGCTGTGACATAACGGGGTACGGTCTCCTCTGGAATGGTGAAGCAGTCATTGTAGGGGTCACTGCAGGTTTCACTCAACCTGGGGCACGACATGCTGGTGCCCTCGAGTGAGGCATCATCAAAACTCGGCAACTGGGAAGGACTTCTGGCAAGCGACTCAGGAGGACACTTCTCAACTGGTACTGTCGCTGGGCTGTCACTGCTGGCGAGCATGGAGTAAGTCGTGGAGCGAGTCGTGGCAGAGACAACTGGGTGAAACATCTGGGAGTTGTAACATCATACATCAGACTGCAGTGAGCGAGCTAGCAGTCAAAGTGACATCTTTGTGCAGGCTGCTCACTGAAGCATGTGACACGAGGCTGACACAGCGCCTGCCGACAGGGCTAACTGCGGCTTGACGAGTGTCATTCTCTCGGCAGTTGGAGTTATACCAGAGGTTAGTCTAAGTGTCCCCAGACTTGTTTCTCTACATACAACTGCACTCTGAAGGTCTGGAGGTGAAGTGAAACAAATCTAGATTGGAATCGTAGCAGGTACGATTCTGCAGAACATCTATGAGCGACGAGCATAAGAGCTTTCTGTACAAGGGGCTCATACGCTCAGAGCTGACTAATATCAGCTGCCAAACGCGCTGGTCACACCGGGTGACAGGCAACAAAGTGCTACACAGGGGTCTGGCCGCAGACCTGTGGTCGACACACAGCTGGGCTCAAGACCACACAGGACACACAGAAAATTTTGTACACACCTGCAGTACATGCAGTACAACATGGCTTAAACTAGCAAATGATGCTTTTCTGTGCACAAAATTGACACTAAGCCATACACTAACATGTGAGAACACTGACTGAGAGGAATTAATGAACACGACATATATCTTCTCTCAATCTTCTCGACAATACTGACATAATTACTGAAACACTCGATGTGACATCATGTGATGTCAGGCGTGACGCCATGAGGTGACGTCAGCAGACATCTCGAGGTGACATCAGGGAGACATCGTGATGTCATGAAGTCGGGCAGCAGCATCGGTAACTCACATGGCTCATAGATTAGTCACTAGTGGCATTCCACAAGGATCAGTTTTAGGCCCTCTCTTGTTCATAATTTACATTAATGACCTTGATGAAGGGATTACGAGTGACATGAGCAGATTTGCTGACGATACAAAGATAGGCCGTATCATTCATTCTAAGGAGGATAGTAATGAACTCCAAGGGGATTTGGACAAATTAATGTCTTGGTCTGAAAAATGGCAGATGAAGTTCAATGTGGATAAGTGTAAGGTACTAGTCCTTGGTAATGAAAATAACCCTCGAAGCTATAAACTAGGTGAAGTAGAACTTGATCATACAGAATGTGAAAAAGACTTGGGAGTCATGGTAAGCAGAAACCTGAAGCCAAGACAGCAGTGCATGAGTGTGCACAACAAGGCTAACAGATTACTTGGATTTATCTCAAGAAGTATAAGTAACAGAAGTCCAAAAGTTATTTTTACAGCTCTATACATCACTAGTGAGGCCTCATTTTGATTATGCTGCTCAGTTTTGGTCTCCTTACTACAGGATGGATATAGACTCATTAGAGAACATACAGAGAAGAATGACTAAAGTGATTTACTGTGTAAGGAATCTCTCATATGAAGATAGACTTAAAGCCTTAAATCTCCACTCTCTGGAGAGACGTAGAATGAGGGGAGATATCATTGAAGTGTATAAGTGGATGACGGGCATAAACAAGGGAGATTTTAATAAAGTACTGAGGGTGTCGAACCAGGTAAGAACCAGAAATAATGGATTTAAGTTAGATAAATTTAGATTTAGAAAGGACATAGGTAAATACTGGTTTTTTAACAGAGTTGTGGATGCATGGAACAATCTTCCCAGTAGGGTGATAGAGGCTAGGACCTTGGGTAGCTTTAAGAAGAGATTGGACAAATATATGAGTGGGAGGGGCTGGGTTTGATTGGTGTCATTGGGTACGGGAGTTAATTCTTGAGTAGCTTTAGGTAGAGGTCATTTTTGATAAGGACCTGCCTTGTATGGGCCAGTAGGCCTTCTGCAGTGTTCCTCCATTCTTATGTTCTTATGTACGAGTTTGGGAGAGTGTGTAAAGGACTACAAATATTTTAAGGTAAGTAATGAGTAAACTGTATATGCATTTTATCACTCTGGGATGGTTAAATGTAATAGAATATTATGTGTAGGTGGAGTGGCCTGGTATGGTATTTTGGCTGACTACCATACATACCACACTTGATTTCTTACAATAAATACTACTCATCTCACCCTAGATTAAGACTGTAAATATCTTAAGGTAAGTAATGAGTGCACTATGTGTGTATTGTACTTTTAATGAGATGATGATTATTATTATCATTACTAATATGACATCTGGAGACATAAGACACTTACTGATTTTAATGTGTACCTGCATGCCAGCATAGTATGTAAGTTTATTTAAATACAGGTATACATAA